GATATGACTTCTAAGGTCTCAGTATAGTTACAACGGCTGCCCCACCCTTCAAACCGAAACGCATAACTGCTACACGGCTGAAATAGGCGGAGTGGTGGTACCTACCCGTTCCGACTCACAATAGGTCCTACCACCAGTTAACCTACTGTTTACCTACGTTACTGGAATACCGATGGTAGGGGATCTAAAAGGATGGTTGTGGAGTACGATATGCCGATCACACCGTCGTCTCCTACTAAGGTTACACCAGCCACTTGACTCCGCGTCTACCTTGTACATAAGCCTTATATACAGTATTGTTAGATTGTTACATTAAATAAATTAACATAATTCTCCTGTCGATGGATCCTTCAGGTGATATTTACATTTTTTGATTGGGTACACGTGTGGGCGAATGTGTTTACGGTACATCTTGTGTTAAGTGAATCGGGAACCCATAGATATCGAAACCCGAATGCCACCTTGAGATATGAGGTCAATCTTGTTAACAGGTTCCGGTAGGCAGCCGGTTGGCTCTGTCTCTGGCTTTGCTGACGTCCATGGGCGATTGTAATCACTTATCATCACACTTGTAGAAGGGCAAAGAAAAACAGCTTTTCCACCCTTCAAATGGGATTGTATGATCGCTTTGCGTTTGAGAACCACTTACCGCGAAGCGAGCACGTACTCTGGTAGCTGATGGTGATTATTTGAGTGCATTTAGCAATCGTTTTTAATAAAAGGGCCGAAAAAGTATTACAAATAAAAATATAATTACATTATACATTTTAACCGCTGCGTTCATCGACAGTGCGTTTCCAGTCTTTTTTACCACCTACCGTCCGTCCGGCTATGGAATGAGCTCCCCTCCACGATGTTTCCCGAGCGCTATGACATGTCCTTCTTCAAACGAGACTTGAAGAGTATTAAGCGGTAGGCAGCGGCTTGGTTCTGCCCCTGGCATTCACGACGGCCGACGGCAACCACGCACCATCAGGTGGTACGTATGCTAAAAATACATAGATTTATAAAAAAATCTAATAAAGTTCAGTTAGTTTTTTTTTGTGAGAGCTTAGAGAGAATTTTCCGTCTTTTTTCCGTAACGAACGGTTACTCCTGAACGATTACGTCATAGTACAGAGTAAAGCGCTCTCTATCTGCTGCGAAAATTAAACGCTATTAAGTAAGTATATTGTGTCTTTAAAAAGTTTTTGTTGTGCGATTATTTCACAAGTTACGTATAAAATATTTTAGTACAATACAAAATGAATTTTTAATCAAGAAGCAGGTACCTACAAGAGAGTGGGGAATATATTTTTTTGAGAAATCTTTGAAACGCCAACTTCTCCATTCAAACTTTTCTTCGCTTTGTATCTTAAGATAACTTATTATTTATGTTAGACACAGTTGAGTTTACTGGTATTCGAGTACTCACTAGGATTAAAATCTGAAGCGAACAGAATATCGAAAATTACTCAGAATTTTACTCGAAAACAATGCAAGAATTACAATTTTAAAGCTCAGGTGTAAATAAAAAATAAAAAATTTGTACATATTATTAAAAATTTAACTAGCAGTCTACTGTCAAGTTTGGTCTGTAGATTATTTGGAAAGCCTCAGAATTAATACATGTATTTTAAATACTACATCAATGGTTTTTCTGCGATTTTGAACTTTAGCGGTATAGCTGGTGAGGGCAAAACTCATTTAAAACCAGGATCAGACGAATCCTAATCCTGAAACGTAACAAGTCCACGATCCGAACCCCGCACTTCTGGTGCGAGCGTAAACAAGCCGATTTCGCTTCGCTAAGTGGATTAGGTCGAATAATGAACAGTCTGGGACGTTGCAACAATCCGAACACAGATCTACGGGAACAAACGTTTGATAAGGTGGCAATACGGCTTAGGCTCTTATTGCGGTACCAGATAGCGATTGATTGACATTTTCTAGAAGATTCTGCTGATTTACTTTTATCCCTACCTACCCTCGTAGCCTCGACGGACTATTAGGCATCACCTTTGCCCTAGAAAGAGCAGTGCTTCGCAGAATCTACTACCGGATTGGAATCGCGAATCACCGAGAAGATCCGGCGAGGAAATCAGTGGGCTGTGTCTTTGGGTTAGTTCGCTCGTCGAGCTGTTTGTCTTAATCGACCAGAACAGTGACTGGTGGCATTTACCATCTACTTTTCTATGAAAAGTACCTAAATGTAATAATTTTCTATAAAAGTTAATCGCTCTAATAGAGGAAAATACTATATGAGAATCTATGCCAAAATTTATTAAACAGATATGCAATGCCCCAAACGAAAACATACCCCTTAAAAGTCATGATCACTGTTTGGCGGTCTAGAGAAGTGGTCGGCAATCCGCGGCTCTTCGACTCCACGGCTACGACTCTACCCGCGAAATGTTTATTCCAGCCACTGGCACCAGGCATTTACTGGTGGTAGGACCTCTTGTGAGTCCGCACGGGTAGGTACCACCGCCCTGCCTATTTCTGCCGTGAAGCAGTAATGTGTTTCGGTTTGAAGGGTGGGCAGCCGTTGTAACTATACTAAGACCTTAGAACTCATATCTCAAGGTGGGTGGCCGCATTTACGCTGTAGATGTCCATGGGCTCCAGTAACCACTTAACACCAGGTGGGCTGTGAGCTCGTCGACACATATAAGCAATAAAAAAAAGGCAGGGAATATTACTTATTATCTTCTTGCCTTGTAAGAGACGAGTAAACATTATCGGAGGCTATAAAAATATAGGTAAGTAAAAAAAATTGCGTTTTGAATAAATGTGTTATCTATATTGACAAGATTGCCTGCCGAGTACTAGTCTATTATAATTTATGACCGCTTCTTACAAAATGGCACCAGCATTACTGCGGATGTGTGCTGTAAGAAACTGGACCTAACGATGGAGAAGCTCGCGAATCTCCGACCAGTCTTGGTTAGTGGCTCCGTTGCTGCTACACGACAACGATCGATCTCACACGGCTACAACAGACGGTCTCTAAGCCACAACAGCTAGGGTTGGAAGTTTTGCGTCATCCACCGCACTGACCAGATCTTGCGCCGTCAGAAGTCGACGTGGCCTAAAGGATAAGACATCCGGTGCATTCTATCGAGCGATGCACCAGTGTTCGAATCCCGCAGGCGGGTACCAATTTTTCTAATGAAATACGTACTTAACAAATGTTCACGACTGGCTTCCACGGTGAAGCAACAATAACATCATGTAATAAAAATCAAACTCGCAAAATTATAATTTGCGTAATTACTGGTGGTAGGACGTCTTGTGAGTCCGCACGGATGGGTACCACCGTCCCGCCTATTTCTGCCGTGAAGCAGTAATGCGTTAGTAATCTAAGTAATAAAAAAAATACATACTGTTTCAAAAGTTTGAATAACTTCTTGGGAGGGAAACATTCAATCACACCAGAAGCAGTACAAAATGCCCTTGAAGAGTTTCTTGGCTGACATACACCTGAATCCTTCAAGAAGGACACTGAAATATTATCACTACGCTGGCAGGGGTGAATCGATACCACGGGCAAATATTTAAATTGTAGAAAAAAAAAATGTTCGCAGGTGAAGACCTAATACATTGATTCGTAGCAATACGTGTAACAGGGGCAGTGGCTTGGCTGTGCCTCTAGCATTGCTGATGTCCATGGGCGATTGTGGCCATTCGCCATTAGCTGGGCCGTATGCTCCTTAGCTGATATAGTGATATCTATATATTAATACGTGAAGCAAAAACTTTTTATCCCTTTTTACGAAAATTGCGCTGACGGAGGAGTATGAAATTTTCCACACTTAGGTATAGAGAATATAGAGAAGAAGTGCACAATGCTAATATTTTTTTAAAATAATGCATAAAAGGTACATTAAATCAATAAAGAAAACACACGCATACAAGTGACGCACACACGCATGCATACTATTTATTGTCAAACTTTTGTTCTCGACGTCTGTGGTCAAATTGAGAATAGATTAAATATTTTTTGTCTTTATTAATATTTTTTTATATAAAATACAATCATAATAGTGTACAAACTTTTTATACAATTCCAATTAATTATAGTCGAATTTCGACTACTGCGGGACCTTTAGTAGGTATATATAGTTATGCGTTTGTCAAAGACATCACGACGTAAATTCCGTCAATAGAATTTTTAAATTTTATGACATGGGTAAGCGAACGACCTCACAGACAGTAGGTTCTATGAGGTTACTGGAGTCTACAGTCGTGGATGCTGTCACCCATGAGACATGAGGCTGAACTCTTAATTTCATTGTACAATAATATATCCCATGTTCAATTATACAGAAGCTAACATAAAACTCTATTGTAACAAAGATAAGTAACGGGTCCGGTGTAGCTGATGCTCGGTCCTGGGGGAGTCTGGGGTCGCTCAGGGTGGGGGTGTGGGGTGTTAGCTACCTGTGTAGCGTTACAGTCGCTGGGTGTGGTTTGCCGTTCAATAACTTAATACTCTCCGCAGGGTTTCGCGCTCAAATCTCGCCCGACTAGAGCGCTCCCGACACGACTTGATACTTGAGTTTATGATTTATTTAAAAGAAAGGAAATGTTTCAGTTTCTCTATGGTTAAAGTTTTAGGTGCAATTCTAAGAGGAAGTCTCGGGCTTATTATCTCATTTATGCAGTAAATTAAAATGTACGGGTACGGGTTTCTAGAAAGAAAGTTATCTAAATATTTGATATAATATTTTCGATGATTGTATTAATGTTTCTTAAGTGCTAGTTAGCGCAATCGTAACAAAATATAAGCAATCAAAAACAATTAACCTCGATGCCAGAAGAAGTAGGTCAGCTATGCCTAAAATGAAAAGAATAGGCGAATAATGTAATGGTATTCGTTACGTATTGAAGGTTCGTTCTTCTGTTTCGTGAATGTGTCACAGAGCGAGAATCGATGAGTTACATCCGTAATCCTTAACACGTTAGTTGAGCATAAATTCGTGTTACATAGGACAAATGCGAGCATGTAATCGACCCGGATGGTTGTATGGAGGCTATTAATTGCAGGTTTGCAGGTAATCGATAGAGGTAGGCGGTGGCGGGTCGGACCAAGCGCTGGCGGTGTGCGTGACGGATCATGGCGGAGCGGGGGGGAGCCCTCGTTAAACGCACCCGCCGCGACGCGGCCTGCAGCCATCCGGCCCCCGGGCGACACACGGCCGGGATTGGCCGCCGCGCCGCCCGGCCCGACCCCGTCAGCCAATCCGCTCGCAGTCGGCCGCACGCCCACGGAGCGTCCGCGGCCCGCGCTCAGACCGCGCGCGACTCCGCCGCGCACACTCGCACCGATGCGCGGCTCCTGGGACGAGTCCACCACGGCGGCGCTGCACGCGCGCATCCTGGAGGCGCACCGCGGGCCCGCTGCGCCCGACCGCGCCGCCGAGCCCGCTACTTGTACTGAGCCTGCTCCGCCGCTCACCATTAATTCCATCGAGCTGGCCGCGCCGACTCCTCTGCTGCCCTTACCGACGCTGTCTTTCAGCGCCGAACAAGTTGCCACCGTTTGTGAAACCCTGGAGGAGAGTGGCGATGTGGAACGGCTCGCGAGGTTCCTGTGGTCGCTGCCGGTGGCACATCCAAATGTTGCCGAACTGGAGCGCTGCGAGGCTGTCCTGCGAGCCCGAGCGGTGGTCGCCTTCCACGCGGGCCGACACCGCGAGCTCTACTCCATACTGGAGCGCCACCGGTTTCAACGTTCGAGTCATGCGAAGCTGCAAGCTCTATGGTTAGAAGCGCACTACCAGGAGGCCGAGAGACTTCGAGGGCGTCCTCTGGGCCCGGTCGATAAGTACCGCGTCCGCAAGAAGTTCCCCCTGCCTCGGACCATTTGGGACGGAGAACAAAAAACGCATTGTTTCAAGGAGAGAACGCGTTCACTATTGAGGGAGTGGTACCTGCAGGACCCGTACCCGAACCCGACCAAGAAACGGGAGCTGGCGGCGGCGACGGGCCTAACGCCGACGCAGGTCGGCAACTGGTTCAAGAATCGACGGCAGCGGGACCGAGCCGCTGCCGCCAAGAACCGCTCGGCGCTGCTCGGCCGGGGCTTCGCCTCCTCCTCCACCTACGACGAGGACTCGGCCGACTCCGAAATCAACGTCGAGGAGGAGTAGCCTCCGGTCGCGGACTGATAGTGTAAATATTTATTATCAGTGATATAGATTATATAAGCCGACAGGACGTTCGGCAGAGAACGTTGCAATATAGACGAATGCTGTCTTCAATTAGTATCTCAGAGGCCGTGGCGTATGTGATGTTCAAAGCGTTGTCAGCCAGTACCGTTAGCTCGTAATATCCGCGTTCAAAGTGTTAATTAACCGAGTGCTTGAAGTGTCCGCCTAACTTCTGCCAGATCAGGTACGTACCACGACGTAGCGCTCGCTATGTTAGAGTATATTTTGCCGCGGATCTTGGAAATCTCTCGACGAATTTATTCTTTTATTTAGGAGGTACAACAGGGTTGGTTCGGTTCAGACGACTCAGAACGTTTAATTTAAATAGAAATTTTGATTGCTCGTGAGATATCATCTGTGCTTTTTTTTGTTTAATAGGCATTTATTTATATATATTTACCAGTTGAAATAGTTTATCAGCTTTTAGTTGTACGTAATTCAAAAAGGTTGTAATAAGGTATCTTCGTCAGAACCAAATTATGTCAACTCGGTTCGTATAACGAGGAATTGTTTTTTTTTGTTTTTTTATATTTATCATAAAAGTATTTATTATTAATTACATTTGTTAACGTTATATCGAAATGCTGTGAAAAGATATTTAATAAGATAGCGCATGAAAGAGATATGGTATTAGGCCTAATTGCGGCGCTCAAATTTGCGGGAGGAAATCGAAATAAGCGAACGATTGTAATCGAAAAAAAGTATTTTCAAGAATTTTAGAGGAAAAAACGTTATAATTTTCATCATTATTTCCTCTTAAAGTGCTACTTGAGGACAACTCCCGTAATTACATCACTTATGGGTAGATATTGATATTAAATGGGATTAAAATTCGGTATTTAATTGAGTTAGTTTAGGTCAATTCTCAAATGCATCAAGATTCTAGGTACTCTGTGTCAGTTACATTTTATGTATCTAGAGTACTAGGCACCTAATTTATTTAAAAGCCAATGTATTTACGTATGTATGTTTCCTTGAGATTCCGAAACGGCTCGACAGATTGCGATTAAATTTTCAGGAAATCTTCAGATTAGCCTAATGGGTAACCCGGTGAAGTTCGGTAATCGGATTGGAGTCGAATCAAAGATAGGCCAGGTTTTACGACAAGAACTAGTTACTTTAAAACAATCTTATTTTATTAAACAATTTTAATGAAAAACTCGTGTTTTTTATGAAATACAAGTTAGTATTTTTATTCTTGTAAGTTGTAAATTTTTCGAGAAGAACATCTACTCAGTCGTGGACCAACAGAGGCACTAACCAACTAGGCGTTCGAAAAATTCAGGTAGCAGAGACACTTGTAATAAAATAATTAAAAAAAATCTTAAATTTCGGCTTTGGAATGAGCTCCCCCTTCCACGGTGTTTCCCGAGCGCTATGACATGTACTTCTTCAAACGAGGCTTGTAGAGAATACTTAACGGTAGGCAGCAGCTTGGCTCTGCCCCTGAGATTGCTAACGGCCATGGGCAACGGTAACCACTCACCATCAGGTGGGCCGTATGCTCGTCTGCCTACAAGGTGAATAAAATAAATTAATAGTCAACAAGCTAAGTGTGAAGTTAGATTCTTTCTATTTTCCTCTATATTCTTTAGTACTATACACTTTCTTGATACTTTGATGTACCTCCGATAGCTCTCTGTATTTATCATGTTCCTAACGAAATATTAAGGGCTTACTATCAGTTCGTTGTAACTAAAACCTATGCTAATTTTCCGATTACGGCAGAACAATATCTGATTATAAAATTTTTTTTATTGCTTTCAGAAGGGTTAGAACTGAACACGTACCTAGTCTATGTAAATAGAACAAGACGATTTATTAATAAATACAATTATTTCTATCGGTAGGTTCTTCTATCTGTAGGTTCCACGGGGATCGATGAATTGTTTATGATAATTTCGCACACAGTATATTTGAAAAGAATCCTCAACAGCTTGCTTGAGTCCAATAAGGTAGATTTAATTTGGGTTAAAAAATAAATATATTATTATACATATATCAGTTAAAGTGAGTGGTGGACTCACGTTACGAAGTCTTATGACCTAAGGCTAGACCTTGAATCATTCGTGATCTGTTGCGTAAAACAGGCATTACTCACGGATGCCCACCAATTTTAACACGATTTTATTAGCTTGGTACGCATGCCCATCAAGTCGTCCAAATATGTCGACCCATGAGTTTCTAATCTATAACTTCGCTCTAAAATCCTGACCAGTATAAACAGGATGCAAAGAAAGATGAAATTAAATTTTATTATGTCATTATTTTTAAAGTTGTTTAGCTACGTAAATTATTTAATTAGCTGACCCAGCAGACTTCGTAGTGTTTCAATCAATAAATAAAAGACCTAAAATTTTGTATAAAATAAACTTAAAACAAACAAAAGCAATGCGTCCGACGGGGGACACATCGAAGGAAAAACAAAATTGATATTTTTATTGAATTCCGAGCGTTTTCATATTTATCTACCTTTTAAACCTTCTCTGGACTCACACAAATAATTCAAGACCAAAATTAGCCAAATCGGTCTAGCCGTTCTGGAGTTTTAGCGAGACTAACGAACAGCAATTCATTTTTATATATATAGGTATATAGATAATCAAAACCTTTTTTTTTTCTTATTTAACGCTGGGGAATCTATTTCCGGATACCCGGTCAGGGGGTAAAGGATCGGGCTATGTTGGACTCCGGCACGTCCCGAGAGGCAGATCTCGGATCCGCCCGATCCATTAAAGATGCATTTAGGTACCTCAAGCACCGGTCATCGTTCTCGTTGAACCCGTCGCTTGCGACGAAGGGCTCGACGAGTAAATTAACAGATAGACACAGTCCACTGAGTTTCTCGCCAGGTCTTCTCAGTGGGTCGCGTTTTCGATCCGGTTTTAGATTCTGCGAAGCACTGCTCTTGTTAAGGTTAGTGTTAGCAAAGTCGTCAGGCTTGAGCCCCGTGAGCTCACCTACTGGTTAGGTTACGCTTAAACAGAACTGTTTGGCTGATATTTCCAAAGACTTCGAAGCAAGCTTTTTCTAAGTTACAGAGTCTGGGCTGAGCGTTCTCGGCCTGGGCTTCTAGACAAAGCTTTCTATTATTATTATTTAATTTTTATTTATTTATTGCTTAGATGGGTGGACGAGCTCACAGCCCGCCTGGCGTTAAGTGGTTACTGGAGTCCAAAGACATCTGCAACGTAAATGCCGCCGCCCACCTTGAGATATAACTTCTAAGGTCTCAGTATAATTACAACGGCTGCCCCGCCCTTCAAACCGAAACGCGTTACTGCTTCACAGCAGAAATAGGCAGGGCGGTGGTACCTACCCGTACGGACTCACAAGAGGTCCTACCACCAGTTATTTGTTTTTATTTAGCTTACAAAGCCAACTTATTTAGTTCATATGTGGATATAAATATGAAAGTCGATTGAAGATATTCAATTTATGTTCAGAGAGAGAAATAAAATCCATTCAATAATTTAAGTAATCGAAAAATATTAATATGCTTCTGAGACAATATTAAGTGATCGAACAGACATACTGAAATAACATAAACATAAATAAATGCCCCTGAACGTGTGAAGAGGGATACCATAGTTGATTTTGCGTTTTCCGTCAATAGACCATTGTGAAGAATAAGATGGATAAGAGAAATAAAGGTTAATATTTTTTACTGCTTAGGTAAGCGGGTTCAAGGTTCACCTGGCATTAAGTAGCTTTCATAGCTCATAGATATCGTAACGTGAAAGCTACCTTGAGACATGAGGTCTAGATCTCAGCTATATAGTGTAACGTATGACCCACCTTTTAACCCCCGCGTGTCTGCTTTGCGGCAGGAATAGGCCATATGCCAATGTATGGTAGACCATACCCGTGCGGGCTTGTAATCTACCACAATTAATTGCATAAATACAATTAGCAAATTTTATATTTAATCCACGATGTTATTGTTAGTTCGTGGAGTCTTTCGAGAACGTGAGTTATGTTGGTAATTCATTGGAAAAATTGGCACCTGCCCGCTTTTTTTGTAACCTCGAGGGGTTATTCTAGATTCACCGAGCTAGAAACCGGGATTGTTGCCAACACTGGCCCTAGCAAGAGCAGTGCTTCGCAAAATTTATCAACGGATCGGAAACGCGACCCACTGAGAAGATCCGGCGAGAAACTCAGTGGGCTGTGTCTATGGGTTAATTCGCTCGTTGAGCGCAAGTCGCAAGCGACGCGTTCGACGAGAACGGTGACCGGTGCTTGTGGTACCTAAAAGCAACGTTAATGGATCGGGAGGATCCGTAATGACGTGTTTAGGGCACATAGTTCTGACAATTGATCACAACACACAGAACTATGTCCTTGCCACTATTTTTTCATTCTATCCCACTTGCGTTTTATAAACAATACGATATAATTAAAACTAGATATACCTATTTTATTGAGTTTAATTTCGCGTGCTTTATTTTATTTTTATTATTTTATTATATTATTTTCGACGTTTCTGCGTCGTTTGTGACAACAAAAGCTGTAAAATGTGTAAAGCTGTATTAAGACTCCGACTAGCGAAAAATGTTATATCTATAATATTATAGTACTTATAATATTATAATCTCTATCTATACTTCTATACTAATATTATAAAGAGGAAAGGGTTGTTTTTTTCTTTGTATTGAATAGGCTCCGAAACTACTAAACCGATTGGAAACATTTTTCACTTTTTGGAAGCTTCACTATTCCCGAGTAACATAGGCTATAATCTTTTTTGTAAAAAAATTAGGAATCCTTACTAGAACTCCAATATACATGATTGTACCCAAGGTGTAAAAAAATTACCTAAAATATTTTTTACATCGCGTTCCCTGCAAAAACTATTGATGATAGAATAAAATAATGTAGGTACTACGACTTTGTAGAACACATTATTTACAAAAAGTGTCGCGACAGCATATGTCTAA